CTCGTTCAGTCCGTGTTTACCAAATAGCTTACAAAATAATGAATAACGCTCTGTGCCCACTCAACATCCAGTCCCTTGATTGTAAGAGTTAGCATTTTGTAGTTACAGAACCAACCTGAGTCTGGGTGGATTTATTAGTTCTGATTTATTACTTTTTATGCACAAGGCTGCATAAATGTCCTACTTTAAAACCAATCCAAGACTGGAAGCTCTCTAGTAACTTTTATATATATATAAGGTTTCTTAATAATCACTGTGAACTTGGGCTGAGTCCATGAAGAGCTAGTTCAAATTCTTATGCATCATTGCACTAAGAACATGGTTTAAAGTGACCGATTTGGCACAGATTCTGATCAAAGATCAGCCTGCCTCCCTCCCCCAATCTTGTATTCATCTGTGATACCAAGCTCCAGCCATATGAGACCTGCTCCTGCATTCCTACTGCTATCAAAACACAACTATTTCCTACTACAAATCTAGCCTACATCTGTGGAGCAATCTTAACCTTCAAAATGAACAGTGTAGAGAGAAGCTATACTTACTTCAGGGCAAAAACTCACAGCAAAATAAATTAATCTTCCACCTGCAAGGTACCCACAGTGGCATCTTACTGACCAAGAACATTGTGGTAACACAAGTGACTAGACACATTGCACATGTCCATATTGCTGTTGCTAACTTTGGATTTAGGTGTGCCATGCTTCCATTACCTTCCTTCGCCTGACAAAGCACTGGAGAGCAGAACCTGCTGTTCAGTCTGGTGCTGTTCAATCTCATCCAGCTTCTCCAGGAACTGCTGACAGGAGCTCTTCATCACTTCTATTTCATGGATGGTACACTATATAGAAAAGCAAGAAGAGACACTATTTCACCACTTCCCTTTCACCCCTTCCATGTGCAGATATGTTTCAAGCTGATGGCCCAAATGGCAGGGAGTCCTTCTATTAACTGTGCAGCTGGGACTCTGTGAGCAGCTGTCATGAAGTCCAGATGGCATGCCCCGAGAGTTGTTCTAGGTGCATTATATTGCAGTTACTACATTTTTTTTAATAATTTTTGATGAAGTTCTGGCCCTATTGAAGTCAGGGAGAATTTCATTTTTGGCACTGAAGAGGAAAAATACTTTGATTGAAGACCTAACACAATGGAACAAATTTTGATACTATCATCATGGCACCAGTCATTATATTTGAGCAGAATGAGTTGCTTTTGATTAATGATAAGTTAAATAACTATCCACTGGAGGTTAGAAACGCCATTGGAAAAGAAAAATAAGAAGATGTGCAAGTACTGTAAGAAGAAAAAGTATTTCCTATAATGGGTTCTGCTAAATACTACGCTGATACATTTTTGGTTGATACCACTTGCAAAGCTGGATTTGGATTCATCTAACCAACTGCAGATGTACCTCTAAGCACTGCAAGGAAGCACTTTTTGTCATCCAAAAATATACATCTACAGCGCAAGTAGATGTTTGGGATGTTCCTATGTTGTAAGGCTTTGGTCTCTTAAGTCACAGGAAGGCAGTGTAGAAACCTGCACCTCACTGCTGATCACTGTAATTGATAGTGAACAAGAACTACATGTGCAAAGCATGAAAACGCCCAATCTCTTTGGATCCATGAAATCATGTGCTTTGATGGTTTCGCCATGCTTGTGCGCATCAATTTGCCTCTCAATCCCACGAAAGCCTGAAACACAAGGAAGTCTTCCCTATCAGGATAAGGATATTGAGACTAGCTTTAACTAGATGTCAAAATATGTCTTCAGTGCATTTGAGAACGCCCATTTTCAATCCCCATTTCAGTGCAGCTATGTCAGGTGCCCTGCCGACTCAGAGAGAAACAGTTCCTTAACAGTAAATGAAAAATCTGGTTCCAACTGCCATGGGATAGCACCAGAAATGGCCACTCAGAGAATGATAGTTGCTTTGATGGGGTAATTTCCAGATAGAGGAGATAGCATGTTTTTAGAGTTAAATGGGTCCTGCTAGCAATATGCTATATCAGAGCTCCGGTCACATGGCTAGTCCTGTTTCTGCAGAGGCTGCACTCACAGTCTCCACTCTACATCGATCACATCTAGTTTTCTTAACACTGCAGGTCAGGTCATCTGCAATTGCAGATGCCTTTGAGGCAGTCGGATTTGATATGTGCACCTTCAAATCAAGTGGTGGCTGATTGCTTATTTTCTTCCTCCTCCCTCCCATCCCAACACACACGCACTCCACAGTCTTTAGTTTTGATACTCTGAAAGTTTGGTGACTCATAGGTGAGACTGCTTAGGTTGCTAGTAAGCAGCACATCCGCATAGGATTTAACGATTTCTTCTTACAACTGTCAA